TGATTAGGATCTGAAAATAGGTTTAAATGTATTATGTGGAATGAGTTATAGGGGTGAGAAGAGGAGTCTTGAACTAGAACTTTGGCATATGGGGCTTGTTGGATGTAGAAAACGAAATGGACTAGAGGACTAGAGGACGCCTCGCCGGTGATTGCAGGCGTGTTAGGCATATGATGGACCTATGGTCAGTGCCAAAATTTCCTTAACGTCTGTGTGGAGGTCCCAGTAAAATTTAAGATCACTTTGATATCCAGATCAATATGCGGTGTAAAATATCTATTTTACTCTCCGGAGGCAATTTGACCCAATTTATGGGCGATTTTCACCAAAACAAATTTATATTCATTCGGAGTTAGATTAATTGAGTATGTTTATGAAATATTACTAAAAAATAACATCATTTTATTTTTGGTTGTTTCGGATCGAAAAATAGCGCAGTATAGGATTTCTCAATTTTGGATCAAACGAACCATTTCAAATTTATTTTTAAATTATGTCTTACATTATTTTTGACTGTTAGCATATTTTAAAATTATATGATTGGGTATTGAACTCGGACTTAGAATTGTTGATTTGGATTAGGGTTTTGAGTGTGGTGATGCATAATGGTCCAAAATGACTGATTTGATTGTGTGAAATGAGATATCAGAATTATTTTAAAATAAACATAAGTGCACATAGGTCGAGTGGTACAAGGGTTTATGTTCCAGTTCGAAACTGTAGAGAGTACTCATTGAGTTCGTAAACGCTTGGGTAACCTAATTGATCTTCGGACTTGGGTGTTGAAGTTAAGTTGTGGTGAATACGAAGCGTTATGAAGCATATTCATATGTATCAATTAAGTTATATTTGAATCGATACTCATTTGCATCATGTGTTGCCTATTATGGTCGGAGGCTACTACCCCTCGGTTATATTTAGGGATCGACTATAAAGTAAGAAATGGTTTCTGTTAGCGGTAAATATGAAGTGTACTGCTTCATAATAATTGAAAATAAAAGTATAAGATATATCAAGTTTATTTTCTTGTATGTGATCAATCAATTTTGCTGAATTAATTTAAGTCGAGTTGTGTAAACTATAGATCAAACGTGCTTTTATGAAAAGTTTGTGAGAACTATTTATATGATGTATTTGTGACTTTCTTATATATGATGTATTGATGTTTATGACTTTCTTGTTATGTTTTATTGTAATTGTTTATTTATTATCGAATTTGTTGTGTTTTTTTTAGTGTTATTGGTTTATTGTATTAGTTAATTAGTGTAGGTTACTTAATTAAATTGTTAAAAGGTTTCAAAAATTAATAACTAAAAAATATGTGTTCACCTTATTTCTTACCTAATTTCTTATCCGATTATTTTAGACGGAATTCAGATAAGAATAATACACTTGATCGGATAGGATAAATCAAGAAATTTTTTTTTACAAATTATCAAATAAGAAGATGTAGTACTATAATTCCTACTCATAAAATGAACATCCCTACCCACATCGAATAGGCATGAGTTGCCACCGGTTGCTGCATGCCCATAAGATGGAATGGCTTCCTACAAACAAGTTGATCCACGTGAGATTGCCTGTATTGCAGAGGTGGTTAGCATTAGTATTATGTGGGCCAATCTAATGTAAAATTTTGGGGCTTTAACCTCGGTAGTACTTAAATATTGAGGGGCTAGTATTTAAATATTGAGTTTGTAAATTTATTTTTAAAATTTACAAATTTAATAAAGTTATAGTGTGAATTTATGCTGATTTTGTTCTTAATTTGTAAATTTAATCTCTGAACGTTAAAGTATGGGTGGGGTTATAACTGAATTTTGCAGGATATAACGACCAATCAAATTCTATTATTCTCTTTCCTTGATTTTTTTTTTAATTTCAAGCTATATATATATATACTAGTTATTGTATATGCCTAAAGGTACAGAGTAATAAAAAATGGTAAACAATAAATATATTTGTATTCATTTTCAAAATCAAATCACAAACATAGAGAAGAATTAAAATAATTTAAGCATCAGTTTATAATGGGGGTAAAAGGTGGTGGAGGTGGTAAGAGACGGTGATAGTAATGGTAGGTGGCAATGACTAGGGTGGTGGTGGTAATGGTGGGGTTGGGGGTGGGGGTGGGGGTGGGGGTGGGGGTGGGGGTGAGGTGGGGGTGGCGGCAGCGATGGTGGTGGTCGTGGCGGCGGTAGCGATGATGGCAGTGGTGGCAGTGGTGGTGGTCGTGGCGGCGGTAGCGATGATGGCAGTGGTGGCAGTGGTAGAGGTAGTGATGAGACGGTTTCAAATACTATTTTAAAAAAAATATATTTATGAAAAATAATTTCTAGAAATTCTTTTAAAAAGTCACTTCAAACACACCTTTAGACCTTACTGATATATTTTTCCTATTAAATTTAGGGTGTTAATATTAATCGTTAGATTAATTTTAAAGTAAAATTTAAAACGATCTCAACGGCGAATAGCAAAAGTCATTTTGTTTATCTTTTACGATTTGAATCGTAAATTACTTTATTATATATATATATATATATATATATATATATATATATATATATATATATATATATATAATACATATTGGACTCGTTTGGTAGACATATTATGAGGGGATTAAATATTGAATTGTACTATTTTTTTATTTAATCAGGTCAAATATTTTGTTTGGTAAGCAAATTTGATATGGTATTAATTTCAAAAATGTATACTGATCATATATTTTTTATACGATCAACCTGTATTATGGAGGTCTCTTAATACCACCAAGAGAATAGTATTATAATCCAGCACATTTACTATTATAACCTCCTAAGTGATAAAATCAAGTGGTCATCGATATAACAAATACTGATTGAAGGTATTTTTTTTAATTTAACATTAATACGATAAAATAATTCTCTAACCAAATAATCGATTAGATTAAATAATTATTATCTAACGCTTATATTTTGCATTTTCAAATATTATATAAAAGTATGTATTATTTTAATATCATATTTAATCTTATTTTTTTATCAATTTGTATTGTATTAGACTGTATTATTTTATTTAATCCATCTATTTATATATTGGGTTTGATTATTTATTATCATTTGGCTGGTAGTATGGCAATTAGAAATAAGGATGTCAATTGTGTCGTGTTCGTGTGACCTTCATGTCGTGTTTGTGTTAAGATCCACGAAAAAAAAATCTATTTAACGTGTTTTGAGTATTAAAAACTAGTTTAAATTATTTATTATGCGTATTTAATAATTATTTTTAATAGTATTTAGTAGCATTTGGCTCGTAGTATGGCAAGAAACTAAACATTCAAGCATAAAAAAATTAAAAACAATGGACAATTTTTGCACCTTAAGAAGTGAGAAGATAAATAAACTTTCAATAAAAAAAATATTAAAACCAAATGGCCTCTGCCGCTGTAGGTCTCGAAATGTATAGAGTTGCTCACTGTTGACACATAAGTCGGGTTAAAATTCTAGTTCAATTCAAATTGAATCCCAAAATTTTGAGAACCCAGCCAAAACACTATTCAAATTTGAAGTGTGGGGTAATTTCTTTTCTTTTTTTTTTTGCCAAACACAAACTCAATCGAGTGGTAAAAATCTCTACCCAATAATGAAAAATATAAGTTGTAGCGTGGTTACTTACACCTTATTTTTATTTTTTATTTTTTGTCAGACTTTGACCATTTCCAATGAAAACCTAGACTTTTACCCAAATTTGATTTAAAAAAAAAAAACTTGATTTGATATAGACTTCTTTAATAGAAAAATTCAAATTTAAATGATGACAAATCCAAATTTAAAAGATGGTAAATACAGTACTATTGAATCTTTAAAGAATGGTGTAATCTCACCATTGGTAAAAAGGATAAGGTTTTGAATCTCCTTTAATTTGAGTTTAAAAAAAAGTTTCCCTTCAATTGGTATTCAAATGAATCTAGTATTAGAGAATGTTTTTAAGAGCTTTCTCACCGCCTTTTTTTTAAAAAAGGGTATAAAAAAATGCAAAGGGTGGAGATTAGGCCTAGTAATTTTAAACACGACTCGTGAAATTGACACGAATTCGACACAGATTTAGCAAGTTTGAGTGTAGTCTTAACGGGTTTGGGTGACTTGGCATACCCGGGAAATAAATGAACCGGTTTTGTATTAACCCATAAATTCGTTTCAACCCGTTTAACCTATTAACAGTTGTACTATAAAAATTTTTTAAAAAATTTTAAGTCTCTCAACCTCTATCTCATCTCACATCTCCCATCTCCCATCTCTTAGACTCTTTCAAATTTAATAGTCATTTAATGTTTATTTTTTGTCTTTATTTTTTTGCTCAGTCATAATTTATTGTGATAATAAACAGATCAAGCATATGTAATGTGTAGTAAGTTGATGATTTTTCGTGTGTACTCGAAATACTCTAACTTACTCTCTTATTTAGCGGGTGACACACGAATTGTATCGAATAACCCGTCTAATAAATTATTCTTATGCGTGTGTGATAGTATGACTCGTTTATATAAACAAATGGAGTATGAATTAAGGATTTTTTGATACAAACTCGTTCCATCCAGCACAAAACCGTTCCGCTCGACACGAATGCCACGCCTACCGGAGATGCTCTAACACTCTACTTGAGGAACACAAATTTTGGTAAGATTTTAAGCTTCCAATTCAGTCCTCTCATCACTCTTAAACAAAAAAGCGCAAAAATAACATTCTTAACTGACAAAATCAATTCCTCAAACAGTAATACTTCCACGTACTAATTCACCCACAAGTAAACCAAAGCTTTCTGTCACCCCTCTGTTATTATAGCAAACATCATCATCATCATCATCTATGCTTCAGTGGAGCTTCATTCAAATCCTTTCTATAAAACAGTATGCATCTCAAAAGCAGACAGGCAATCTCTGTAAACAAGCGAAGGTAATTCAAATGAAAGAATAACAAATTGCATCCAATCTGGTGAACATATCGTCACTTGAATGTAACCCCCCCCCCCCCCCCCCCCTCAATGGCCAAAACCTGCATCAAAATAGCTCACAGTCAAAAAGATAGATAATTGTAGACCAGCATGATCAAATAAATTCTAAAAGAAGAAGAACAAGATAGCTAACCAGCTAGACATAGTTTATTTATTACTATTCTTTTGGTTCAACCGTCAGGTATCAGTTTATGCACACTTTGACTAATCTTCTACATGATCCGATCACAAATGCAGTGTTTTTCTTATTGACCACAAATGCATTATTTTTCATGGTAATAAATTGCTAAATTGTTCAAGTTGGTTGTTCATGATAATCTCACAATGGTGATATACAGACTTACATTAAAAAATAATAATAATAAGAAAAGAAAAATGGGATACCTGTTATATTCTTAACATTCCTTCAGTTGATGAATTGATTCCCAAGTTGACCACTTGGTCAGCTAAACAGATTCAAGAACAAAATAAGAACTTGAACTGATGATAACAGACATGAGACTGATATACAACACTTGAACTTTGTCACTGAGTGCTTACTAGTTTGTGCTCTGAAAACGAAAAAGCACGCCGAGATAATAATGTAGCACAGCATAAGTACCATTCCTTTCAGGTAGTGAGAAGTTCCATCCTGTTAGAATAACGGCAATTCAAAGTTACAATTTCTACCACCCGTAAAGGTGCCAAAGTGAAATGTAATCCTAAAGGTAGCTATAAGCCTATAACAGAAACGAGCTGTAAACTCAAACATCATTAAAAATGTAGTTTTACCTGTAAAGTGAAGGCTGTGATTAATATTGACATGGCGAGAGAACAAGTCTCCAGGAGATTGAAGTTAAGGTCCATTTTGATGCCGATTATCCAAGCAACAATCACAGTTAATGGAACCTGAACCATATATAATTTTAATGACAGAGAAAGAATTTTATGTTCTGAACATGTGTATGATCATCAAGAACTTAAGCCAGCTATGTTAACTCGGATAATTAAAATCTCACCACGAACATAGCAATTTGAGTTGCAGAACCTAGAGAAACACCCAATGATATATCCTGCATTTAATTGCAAAACAACTGTCTTTAGCATATGCTAGTGTTTAATATGACTAATGGATAGTTTGAAACTTTCAGTAAAACAGGAGGAGGGAGAGAGAAAAAAGAAAAGTACATTGGACTACTAACCAACTTGTTCTTAAAAGCAAAGACGATTGCACCAGCATGTTCAGTTGCATTTCCAGCAATTGGTAGCATGATTATGCTGATAAAGCCGACGGGGATGCCCCAAGATTCCGATACAACCTGTTGAAATGAATGTTAATTCATTCATATATCACTAATAATCACATTGACAGATGGATTTCATCAACAATTATCTTATAACATTGTTTAAATGGCCTATCTTCTCGACTGTAGGTAAGATTGCATGAAATTTGGAGGCATATGTATAACATAAGTACCTCGATAGTGTTTACAACGTACTCGGACAATAGAGCTGTGAGGGCCGTCATCAAAGCAAGCCAAACAAATCCACTCCAAAATCCAATTACTGGTGCTTCTTCCGAAACCTCATCATTGTTGACATCGTCTTCCTGGTCAAGAGCATAGTAATAAGTTAGCTTAACTTGTTAATGATTTCTGGCACTTATGAACTATTGTTTTGATTGATGATGTTGTATATCTATAGCTTTTTTGAGTGTCTTTTGTAATTTTTCAATCAAGAAAAAGATCAACATTATCTGTTCATTTTAAGAACACCAAATATTCCTCAAAATGGATGAAAATAAGTTTGAGTAATACTATATGAACTTAAAAACTAGACTTAAAAATTATACTTGACAATCTCAACCATTGAATAGGTAGTGGGTCTCAATAAATACTGGAATCCACAGAGAAATCAATAGTTGAGATTATCAAGTTTAATTTTAAGCCCACTTTTTAAGTTCATGTAGCATTGCTCAATAAGTTTAGAGTGAAGGGTGTGGTCACAGCAAGATTTAAGAGCTTTTGAGATAAGTTTTTTATGACAACTGTTTACCGTCATAAAAAAAAATTGTGTTTTAAGGGAAAAAAAAATCGTAACGATAGTGTTGTCATAAAAGGGTTATTCGTTTCAACAAATACTATTTGAGATGACTCTTTGTCGACATAAAAACTTTTTGAGACTACCTATTATGGCGGTCAATGCTAGCAAATAAACTTTTTGTCACAGTACTATCGCCACAAAAAAATTTTTTACTTCCAAAAATATGTTTTTTTGTGATGGTAAACATAGCTACTACAAATAATTTGTTTCAAAAAATTCTAATTTTTGTAGTGAATTTAGATGCAAACTGAAAAAAGAAAAAATAAAGATAATCAATCACCTCTGGAGCATCAAACAATTGGCGGTGGGTCCACAATTGGAAGACAAGGTAAGCCAAGTAAGCGATGAGCATTACAATGCTAGTCACTCTCGAAAACAGGAGAGTTGCTTCATCAGTTGCAATTGATGATTTCCCAACATATTGAAACATCAAAGGTAGTGATTGGCACAACAATGCCATCAACAACAGGAGAGAATTCACATCGGATTGTTTCTGTGTCATTCAGTAGCCATTGCAAAAAAAAATAAGAATAACTACTACAGCAAGTATCAGAAAAAACCTTACAGCTTTTAGTCTCTAAAGTATACGTGTAGTGTCTATTTGAACACCCGATATTTTAATTGTGTTTTTTTTGTCTCTAAGATTTTTAATTTATATATAAGTGGTTCAATCTCAAACGTCCGTCAAAAAATTGTTAACGCTTCTGGTCACACGTCAATCACTTGGGACCAAATAGACACAAATTAAAAATCACGTGATTGACGTGTTACCACATCACGATTTTCTATCAAACCTTGGACCACATAAATATAAATTAGGAACCTTATATAAGGACCAAATACAACACTAAAAGCACTCTTTGGGAACGAAAAATATATTTCATCCATAATTTTATGCAGTTGGATAGGTGAATGGATTCTTACTCTCTCAAATTTTTGTTCCTTTGACAGGTTGACAATGCCACCACAGAATAGAGAGGTACCCAGAACCAAGAGAAGGTTTGAGAGTATGGAACCTAAGAGGGAGTACTTCACAACGTCTACTTTTTGCTTGATGAGAGCAAGTATTGCTATTAGCAGCTCTGTGGTGTTTCCAAATGTTGCATTTAGAAGCCCTCCCACTGCAAAGCAGTAGAAATAAAGAAGATTATTTCTGTGAACAGTATCCTAGTGGATTTTGGATTGACATAAGGATCAAGGGTCTACAATCTACATGAATGTTTGACAAGAATAATGGCCAAGAAGATGTATTTGCGACTGTCTTAAGTATGAACAAAGTGTACAATTGCTGATTTTTTTTTGTTTTCCAATGATCTGAATAATCAAATGTTAAGTCTTTTGAATTTTAACTTTACTAAATCAACTTGAATTGCCACTTCCCATGCTAGAATCAGTGAATTACTTAATCCACAACAAACCAAAAACAATAGGGAAAAACTAGATATATACGTCATGAAACTTCAAAATCAAAACTAGAAGGATCACCTGTGGGACCCGTGTAGTAGGCAATTTGTCTGCATTTTTCGAGAAGACAAACAAAAGAAAAAAAACAAATGAGTACAACTTTAATTCCAGGTTAAGCTCCTCAATCGTATTGATGATGAGTAATAATAGATAGAAAGGAAGAAGCAGTTGCATGCTATGAACTTGTAGGATTTCTATTTCTTACTCTGTCAGGAAGGTCATACGTTCTGCAAGTGGAGTGAGTCCAAGTAAGCTCAATGCGAATACCCATGACTGTTTTAAAACATCATTAATGGATGCTGTTAACATATATACTGAAACATCATATGATCCATCAACATGAGATATTTGTAGGCATATATATACTGTAGAATAAAAACACATTAGTTGTTGAAATCAATAGGTCTTTAATCTAATAATACTTTGTAAAGATTTTGATTTGTTGAAATCAAGTCTTTAAATCCCCTTTTTCTTTCTCTTTTCCTTTTCCTTTCCCTTCCCCCTTTCCCAAAAAAATAAAAAATAATAATAAATAAAATAAAACATTAGTTGTTGAAAAGTAGTTGTGGAAATCTATTGAGAAAATTGACCTAACCGTCTTCTACATGTGTGTGTGTGTGCAGGTAAATGTCTCTCTCCCCAAAATCGTACAAGTGATTTCTCGAAATAAGTTATGGACATTCCCCTAACGACAAGAAGTACAATGAACTGATTTAAGTGACCAAAGAAAGAAAATCATTATGGTTTCATTTGGAACTCTCTGCATACTGGTTGATTTGCAATAAGGTAGGTTATTTTGGTAAAATATAGGTTCAATTTGAACAGTTCTTTTTAAAGATTGTTTGGTGTAACCATCCCGCCTGTTTTGAGCTTGAATTTTTGCATGAAAATTATGCATCATGACCGAAATAAAATTCTTATTATATATTAGAGGTATGATAAGATTAGAAAGATTCATCAATAATCAAGTAGAGATACGATAGTATCTAAATAGATTCATCGATATTTAAGTTTGTTTAGATAAGTACAAATGATGATAAACATGTGTGATTTATTTTTATCTTGTATAATTCTCACCTTATTTAGTTGAGTCCATGTAATCAATCATTGTCATCAATAATACTTCGATCTAGGTGTATTTGATAAAACTGAAAATTGAAGTCTGTAAGTTGAAAGTTGAAGTCTAAAAACTAAATTTGTGGGTTGTTTGATATTCATTAAATTTAAGTAATGAATTAAACTAAGCAGTTTGATAACAATACAAAGCTGACGTCTGAAAATAAATTAATTTTCAGTTTTACTTTTCTACTCTTTAATTTGAAAATATTTATAAATTATGTCATAGCATAAATCATAATCACTATTATTATATTGTAGTCTACATTTAACAAATATTTGATCTAAATAAATAAATAAATAATATTTGAATAACACAATAAGTAAACAATAATAAATTAAATAACATAATAAGTGAACAATAAAATCTGATAAAAAAAGAATAATAACTAATAAATAATCAAATAATATTGAAAAAATACAATAAATTAGATATCATTAACAATATGTGTGCGTTGTGTGTGTGTGTGTAAGTATGTGTGTGTGCAGTGTATATGTTTGTGTGTAATTGTGTGCGTGCGGTGTATGCATTTGTGTGTGTAATTGTAATTATGTATGTATATTTTTGTTACAAAAGACAAGGGATAGAAAAAAAAAATATCGATAAGAAGAATATATAGGTTAGGAGTTTTGAAGAGAAGACTAATTAGAGTTTTAATAGGATTGTAAAATATTTCGGCGTATAATTTTCATATTATAAATATTATTAAAGATGATTTTCTGGAGCATTTTTAGCTTTCAGAATTAAGTAAGGGATCTCCTACTCAATATTGTAACCCATTTTTAAGGAGCACTTAATATATTAAGAGAGTTTAAATTTTAGTTATCAAACGAATTTAATTAATAAGTACTGAATATATTTATTTTAAGTGTTCAATTTGGATTAACAAACACACCCGTATCCTAGTGGGTATTTAAGCCCGCAAATGTAGACAATATGCTGAACCACATATTTCTTGGTATTCTTATTTTATTTTATTTTATTTTCTTATTTCCAATATCAATATTATTTTGAATTTCTACAATCCTTACTCAGAGAAGAGTGTAGCTGTGTGAATGTATTTTTGGGTTAAGTAGACAGTGAATGTTATCCTCCAGAGATACTGTCTGGGAATCTGAAGCTATAATTGAAGACAAGGACCTCCTCCCAAGCCACCCAAAACAATATCTCCTCGACCAGACCACCCAGAAAAGCACAAGTGAGAGAATACTAAATAAATATTAACCCAACCGGGTGGGGGTGATTCAATAGGTACCGGTCAAATTTCTTATTTTTAGGTTAGAATTTTGAGTTTTAGAATTTATATTAGGTGGTTGACCGTTATGTTAACTTAATTAGATTCATTTTCGAGAGATGTAACGAGCTCGGTTAAGAGATTCCACCAGTAAATACTGTAATCTCTAAGCGCTCTTTTTTTATCTGCAATCATGGGCAGAGTTGTGCATGGTCCAGGGTGGGCACAAGCCCCCTGAAGAAGGAAAAAAAAAAAAATTTTACCTAGAATATATATTGTTGTGTAATACCTCACTTGTGCCACCCAAAATCAAAAACAACTAGACTAGTTTCAAACAAAGAAAATAAAAATACCGGCCCAACAACAAACAAGAGGAGCTTCTCTTTTCAAATTATAGATTTGTCAAAAATTAGTTACAATTAGAAATTACAATTTTATGCATTTGTATTTGTATTTTCTTCCTACTACAATATGTCAATATCTCCTAGCGATAGAATTGACAATGCATAAAATTAACCTGCTTTTTGTTGTTTTTTGTTTGTATAAATTATGTTTGCTGACTTTTGTTCTTTTTGTATTCAATGAATTTTTTATCATATTGTTCTTCTCTAAAAAGTCATTTTCCATGATCAAAATTAAGGAAAAAAAATCACATTGACCAGAAAACCAAGAGGTAATGATAACAGTGAAAACTCACTGTTCCAAAGCCGCAGTAGGTGGCGATAACGGCCAATGGAATGGCCGGAAAGAGAACGGAAAGCTTAGTCCCCAGAAGAACCTCCTGAAGATTAGCAAGCAACTTTCTAAGACATGCAAAGGGCACTTTGGAAACAAGGGTAAGGTCCGACTTCTTTCGCAGTGACGATGATGACATGTTGTGTGCTGTTCGGCCATGTTTCGTCTCCTTGCTCAACCCCTTGATGTTCCCGTTTTCCATAATCAATGGTGAAGCCATCTTGCCAACACAAACCTTTACACACGAACAAAGCACTGATGTGTGTGTGCGCGCGCGCGTGTGACAGAGAGCAAGAGAGAGAAAGAGTGAGTGAGAGCTTCTTGTGTGATGGGATGGTGCTGAGATATGCAGTTATAAATAGAACATGGAAAATATTATTTAGAGCTAAGTTGAGAATATAATGTGACGAACGAAACAATCATTAGATTGATTATAGAATTTATTTAATATTGAAATTCACAGTTAATTTAATAATTTTATTAAAATCATATCATTAAATTTTCAAATTAAGTACTCAAATACGATCATCCTTATAGCATTGCTCATAGAACATTATTTGCGGATGTTATCATCCTTGATCATAACTCCAGCTGCAACTTCCACGAACCTTCAGTTTTTTGGTTTTTCGGAAAAATTACACTCATATCCTTAAATTTATCACTTAATTATTTATATTCCTTAATATTTGAAAGATGTAATACTTAGACTTTTTAAGTTTAAAATATTAATTTAAAAATAAAAATATATTTTTTTTAAAAAAAATTATAATTAGCATTGTTGATACTCTACATGTCAGTTTGTTGAATTTCAATCACCTAAAAGAGAAGTCGGAGACTAGAGAAGGGCTTTGGAGGTCGACTCTCTCATACCTAAGTTTGTAAGTGATTCAAATGTATGAATTGTGTTTAGAAGTTAGGAGAGTGATATACTGGAACATCAATGGAGCTCTATTTATAGGAGTTCCGACAATTTGAATTGCGTAGGGATAATGATCAAAAATTTAGCCAATCATAAAAAGATAAGTATTAAGTCCTTATATTTATATGCTAATTTGATTTTATCCGTGCAGTTAAATTTAGCTCATCCTTGATATGTAAAATTCTATTTACGTTAGAATTCTTGACAGGATGGATTGGACTTGAACTAAATGGACTTTTCACATTTGGTCTATTTTTTCTTCATCAAGTACGAACATATAAAATAAGTCTAATTAAAACATTTGTATGTTCCATTATATCATCCATTAACATAAAAATCAAATAAAATTTATATTTTTTGAAAAAAAAAAAAATTAGTATAAATATATTAAATAACTCAATTCAACACGTATTTGCATACAATTATACTGTCTATTGGAATAAAACTAAAAAAATCAAACAATAGTCAAACTGTAATTGACACAATATCTTCTATCTTTAATTAGGGTAATTAAATTTCGTTAGTTTCATAACTAATAAGGGGTCTAAGTATAATATATTAAACTTGAGAATTCTAAGTATTATACGCCTTTAAATTTTAGAGAATTTGAGTGTAATTTACAAATGAATATAATAACGGACATTGATGATAAACGTCTAAGTGTTATGCACATACAAACTTTAGGGGTTTGTGTATAATAGGTTAAATGTCAAGAGATCTAAATAATTAAGTGAAAAATTTTAAGGGATTTAGATGTAATTTTTTCTTTGTGGTTGCCATGGGCATCCCACGTGTCTCACTAGGTGGCAGTTTTCTGAGGTGATGTAGCTTTGGGAATTTTTAAATTTATGCTAATTTATGGGAAATGTTAGCTTTTATCATCTGCTTGAGATTCATTCCTATCTCTGCACTTTCTTAGGATATTATGGTATGAAACTCTTTTTATAAGAGTTTTCATAATACTCTCATCAACTTTAGGGCAAATTTTTTGGCCCAACTAATGTGGCATACTCACAAATAAGGGGTCCAAAAATATCTGATTTACATGTGAGATTATGCCACGTTATTTAGGTGGATCGGTCACAAAATTTGATTTCAAAATTCAATAAGTTTACTAATTTGGTTACTAAAATTCGTTGTCGTTTGAATTAAAGTATGAGGTTTTTGAAGGTATTAGCTAGTAATAGTCTATTTTCCACGTTTTTTAACCTTACGATGTAATTAAATCTTAAACATTCAATATTATTTTATCCCCTTATTTGTTGGTCGTGATGTTGTGAATTCATTTGGAAGTAAAATTTGATCTATGATCGGTAAGATGATTCAAAATTCTTTATACACAATGCAAAATATCTAAGAAAACAAGATTTACATAAGAGCTTTATATTTCCATTCAAATCTATATAATAAAGTAGTTATATTAGTTTGTCTTGAACTTTTCGCGGTTCAAATCATTTTCAGGTTTATTATCTGACAATCATAATTAATCTACGTTCTTACAAGACTCTACTATATTCCTTTTATCTCTCATCATTCTCATTCAAACCATTGAAGAGATATCTACATCCTTACAGGACTCTACTACATTATTTTTTATCTCTCCTCATTCCCATTCAAACCATGGGAGAGATTGGTTTGGACAGTTATATATATATAATAAAAACAAAATATATCTAAAATCTATTAAAACTCTAATAACAAGGATTATCTTTAATAAAATATAAGTTTATTAACATGTCTTCCTATTTATTTATCTATATATCTATACCGATATCTATATCTATATATATAATCCAATCTAAACAATAAGTAATTCAAATGCGTAATTTAAAATTAACAAAATAATAATATAATAACAAGGGTTGTCGCTAACAAAATATAGGTTTATTAACATATGTTATCTTATATATATATAATATAAAATATCACAAGTTTTAATAAGCTCATTTGACAGTGTCAAATAGACTCATTCAGCAGCCACTAATATTCTTCTCACAACTATTCACATTAAATTATCCCCCTCCAATTTCATCACTTCTCACTTACGTTATGGCTTAGATCGCTTGACGATTATTAATCCGAAAGTTTTAATGCTAAATTTCCTCTCCCAATTTTTTGAACAAGACTTTTATTCATTCCACAATTCTAAAACTTTGATATCCCTTATAACTCTCTCTCTCTGTCATCTCTATCTCATATTACACATTAATTAGGTCGTTAATTATGATTCTATATAATTACAGATTATTTTTAAAATTTTCAAATAAGCAAATGGACCTTAAATACAGATTTTTTCCATCAAAACAAGTTGAATGACTATAATATATGTCGTATTTTGTATTGAAATAAAAATACTATAATATTTGAATGTTATAATAAGCGAATGACATATATATATAATTTGTGATATATCTATATATTAAGGGAGTTATCATTGTTTGTCTTGAGTTTTTTGTGGGTCAGATTGTTTTAATGTTATTGATCAAATAATCAAAACTACTCCTCCAAATTATTTTCCCGCTCAAAAATTACAAGAATCATTTCACTTTACTTGATTATCAATTTGAAGTGATTATGATTAGGATTTGAATTGAGCTGAATTTGATTGTCAAGTATAAAATATATATTTTTGTTTAAACTTAACTTTGCCTGAATTTTACGAGTATTCAAAGTTGAAGTCAAATTGAAATTGACTATAAAAATAATAAAGAATAATTAAATTATGGTGGCACTGCAAACATGAATAGATAAGAATTAGTTTGTAGGTTTAAGATAGAAGTGTTAATTGAGTCGAACTTAAATTCAATTTTTGATTTGACGTAATTATAATTAAGACTCGAATTGAGTTGAATTTGACTGTCAAGTATAAAGTACAAATTCTTACTTAAACTTAAATTCGATTGAATTTTACAAATATTTAAGTTGGACTGAAATAGAAAATGATTTTAATTTCTTAACAAAATTTTTTACATTTACTAGAATTCACATGAAAATTTTGGATGTTTTTCTCACAAAAGTTATACAAACTCATATTGGAAAAATAGTATAGAGATAATATTATAAACTTTATGTAAAAACCTGCAGAAACACAAATAGTTATAATTTTTTTAAAATTGAGATAAATTTTATTAAAAATGTTAAAATCGTATATGCTTAATTAATAATAATTATATTTTCTCAGATTTTGGAATTAATATGTTACAGTAGTTGTAGCGTGACTTTTGTTACATAAAATTTGATTATATATGTTCTGCATATGGATTCAACAATATCAATTTGATTGTTGTATTGTTCAAATTATATTAGACATTGTCTTTATTTATGAACAAATATTTGTAATTTTTTACAAGTAATAAAGTTTCTTCATACACAGACAATTACTAGTATCCATATATAGTAGCATTTGCAAATAAATTTATTACAAATTCCATTGGTGAATTGAATTTGATATTGATAGCTATGAGTTTGAGTCCTTCATGCGATCTCCTAAGTTCGTGTCATGTCATTTCTCAACCAATTGTATTAATTAAAAGGTTTTGACATCAAAATTGTCATTTAAAAATAGTAAAACCTATTTAGCTTATGTTGAACTTCTATGAGTTCAATATAACAAATTATTACCAATTATAAAGAACTTTTTTGGCTACTTACCACATACTTCACCTATTAAAAAGCAAGTGATCGATGTTATTACAACAGGAGCCTCATGTGGTTTGGTGACTCATTAAACTACAAATATTTGTCTTTTTGGTAGACAAACGAACAAATGACAATAAGATGGTGGACCACATTACAATATTTTTATTTTTTTGAAAGAATAATGTAAAAAAATTAATCATTTAAGGACAAACTAAAAAAATTTTATCTTTCAAAGTAGAATGAGATTTTCCCTAATTTTACACGTAAGTTTGCAGAAGAATATAGTTTTCTGTTTTTGATGTGAGAGACTAGTCAATAATGTGACGTTTAACCCCCTTGCTCCTTAATCAAGCCCCAACCTCATACACAAAGTACCTACCTTTGACAAAAAAAAAACAAAGTACCTACCATTTGTTTAAAAAAAAAACCAAACTACCTACCACATTTGATATTAGGGTTTCACACATAGGAAGTACAACTACCGTACAATTTACAGTTACGTGCCTTTACCGATATCTTCAAATTTTACAAGTTTATAATTATGAATTTTTTTTTTGACTAATGAATAACCGTATCAATAAATATCTTTTAGAGTCGTAATCAATCATTTAAGGGAGGAACTGTTAGTTAAATAGTTTGTTTGGGACTGATGCATCATAAAGAGCAACTAATGCATGCGAATGTAGGTTCAAGTTAAGATTATACTTGTGAACGTAATGATATAAGACTGAGCATGATATAGATTAATCGAATAGAGATGAAAATCAGTCATAGTGATTTGATTGTCTTACATGAAAGGGCTCTCGTTCCATGAATTAAAGATATATGGAGGATAACAAGT